ATCAATTGAAATTGCCAAAATGTCAAGCAATTAAGAGTGGAATTCAACTTTTATATATTATACAGATATATATTACAATAATCATGATAAAATTTGTATTTTAATTAGTATATACTATAAAAAGCTAAATCAGTCGTAAAATTTATTGTCACTGGATTCAGTGAAGAAAAAATAATTGTTTAAATAATAAATAAAATTCATGTTGTATAATTTCCAATATGTTAAATAATGGGGAATACATTACTCTATACGTGACAGAGAAAAAATAGTGTTTCGCAATATTGTAAATTCGAACATGTATATTTTTTTTTACAGGTAATATTAATATATAATATTAAATTAGTAAAAAGAAACCATATTCTCTAGTCATCGTCATGTAAAATGTATCATATCAAATAATTTATTCTACAATATTTTGTTAATATAAATCCAAGTTTATGAATTAAAATATAAAACTTCCGTAACACCACCAATCATGCAATTATAATAACGGAACATTTTAAATTAAATTTAACTAAATTGAAATTAAATTAATTATAAAATTAAATCAAAAAATAAATTTGTTTAGAGTTTCCAAGAAAGTTGATATATTTAAAGCATTTTATAAATGGTAGGATATAAATATATTAATAAAATAATTAAATATATTTAGTCATCTTTAATTTTGGCAAATGATGACATGTTTTTTGATGATTTATTTCTACCAATCAATTCGCCACTTTGGATGAAATTGAGGACATGTCACCAATTGAAATTGTCAAATGTCAATCAATTAGGTGTGGAATTCAACTTTTATATATTATATAGATGCTAAGGCTAATATTAATCACAAATTATGATTTTGCATCAATATTTTTTAATTCAATGATCTATTAATTTTTATAAAAAAAAAATAATTTTATTCAATCTCGAACCTTTGTATAAAATTTCTTATGTGTGGTAGCTGAAGCATCAAAAAACACATATTTAATATGTTAGAAATTAATATTTAATTATATTATCAAACTGACATTAAAATTATTTAAAATATTATAAGGGTATAAGCAAACGTTAAGACGTAAAATAACAATAATCGTTGTTAATAAGATAAATTATGAAAATCCTCCTAAACTTAGGCTAAATTACAGAAAACACTCCCACTTATTGGTGATTACCAAAATCCCCCTGATGTTTGTTTTCTGTCTTACACGACCCCCTTATGGTGTGATTTTTACGAAATCTTTTTTATTTTATGTAATATCCGAAAAAAATATGGATTCGTACTTCTCTAAATACAAAATTACCCCTCAGGGATGAGTCATGGGTAATAATAAAAATTTGTGAAAGTGTTATTTAAGAAGATTAAAGATTTTCGTGTAAAGTCCCCTGATGGTATTTTTTGTCTTTAAAAAGTACCATAAA